GAGGTCAGAGGTCAGTACAAACATGGGCTATTTGGTTGGAGGCTTCTTGGTTATCTCTATGAGATTGCTCATCTTGCTTCTGTCTGAGACCGGTCTTGGCTGGCTTAGTCCTCAGAGGTCAGGATGCATAAGGTTTCATGCAGATTTATTTCCTCTGGCTCAGCTTGAAGAATTTTCGATTCACAGAACCCCCTGAGGCTGCCTGTGCTCATCCTCTGGCCTTTTGTGTTTCTAGTGGGCTTCTCTCTCTCCTGGCTGCAGCTTTCAGATGGCTAGCTAAACCCCGTAGAAGGAAAGAGTCCCTGACCAGAACGCCAGCCCTCCTCACTGCCTGCGTAGTATCCTGTAATTAAATGTCTACATCCCGAGAATCATTCCTTTATACACTCTGGGTTTTCCACCAGCTGGTTTTTGTTCTCCTCTTCTTTTCCTTTTCTGCAAAGCTATTTATAGTTTAATTACCTGTGTTTGAAGTATGTAGAAGTCGATAGTGTCCTGAGTACAGTCCCCAATCAGTGTAGTGAAAATCGCAGTTCTCACCAGAGAGTGACCACCTGGTCACGGCCGCCCCTGATTTCCTGCCCCTGGATGACAGGAGGCTACCATATCTCCTTGGAGGCTTTGCCTTTGATGTGGCTTCGGGTATACTGTACTGAGATGTAAGCAAGAGGAAAGCCTTGTCTCATTTGAAACTTTTGAAGAGTGAGTCCTGCGACTTAACACCTCCCCGCTGAGGCAGGCAGCCGGGCCATCTTGGTTTCACCGAGGTCAGGAGTCCTGTGGACTTCAGGTTTGCATTTGGCAACAGTATGAGATTCTTCTAGAGTCCCAACGTGGAGCTTGGCATGCTTTGTCTCCCTCCTAGAGCTAGGAATTGCTGCAAAGCTGTGCTGACCTCTGTCAGGGCTTGTCACTGGTATCAGGATGAGAGCCATAATGCCATCTTACTCGATCCAGTTACCTATGAGAAAGCCAGGATCCTAGTGTCCCTTTGCATCTGCTCTGTCCTTCTTGGTTACATCTCACAAGTGTCTTGATGGCTTAATGCCAGTCCTTTGGGCTGAGTGGGGAAGTCACATAGGGTGCTCATAGACTGAATGGTGGCCAGTCGCCATCCCTGGTACAGAATCTCGAGTTTCTGTCAATGATGCCATAGACAGGAGTGGTCAGTGGACATTGGGAAGGGCCTCCAGGGCCCATTTCTAGGGAAATCTAACAAGCTACCCAAGTTGGTGTAATCTATGCTGTGTCATTCATGGGTTGATCCTTGACAGCACCCCTCTGCCTCCGTTTACCCAGCTGTAAATAGTGCATAGAATTTGCCTGCAGGACTGTGGTAAGATAAAGTAGAAAAATACTTAGAAAGTCCAAACACAAAGTTGTATAAAAGGGCGGTTTCATGTGATATTGCTCCCAGGTGATAATAATGTTTTATTATTTATTTATTAAAATGAATTCCAAATTGCTACTCTGAGGTCAGAGGTCAGTACAGTGGGGGCTCTTTGGGCAGAAGGCTCCTTGAACCCTCAGGAATATTTCTGTTTTTGTGTGAGCTGGGAAGTCCTCTGAGGTCAGGACACAGGGCGTCGTGTGGATTCCTCTCCTCTGACTTAGACTGGTGAATTTCCAGTTCACAGAACCCACTGAGGTTTCCTGTGCCACCTCTGTCCCCTCACATTTCCAGTGGGCCTTTCTCTCTCTCAGCTTTAACTCTAAGATATCTATCTAAGCCCCTTTAGAAGAGTTCCTGATCAAAAAGACCCATGGCAGGTACCCCGCAAAGGCGTTTATCACCCGACAGTTTGAGCCCTTTGTTGGCTTTTGTGACAAAGTGGCACCCGCACCAACTCAATACATTCTTCAGAATAGAAGGTGGTTTGGGGGGGTTCTTTTTATGGGCCTAGAGTAGTTCTCTTGTGTCTAGCAGGCTATGGCTAAGAGCTTGCCTAGGTGGGGCCAGAATAGCAATGGGTAAGGCCATCTGTCAATCACTACCAGTCCTAAGGTCTCCAGCAAGTGTCCTTTCTTTTACTTAAAAAAAAAACCAACAGTGTGTGTGTGTGTGTGTGTGTGTGTGTGTGTGTGTGTGTGTGTGTGTAAAGTGTGTGTACATGTTTACCTGGGTAAGCAAGCATATGTGTACAGGTCAGAGAACAGCCTCGTGTCAGTCCTTACCTTCCGACTACTTTTGACAGGATCTCTTTATTGTTTGCTACCCTGTGTGCCAGGCTATCTGGTCTCCTAGCTTCTGGGGCTCCTCCTGCCTCTGCCCTTCATTTTTCCCTAGCAGCACCAGACTACAGATGTGCACTACCACTCCTGGCTTTTGTGCACGGTAGGGATTCAAACTCCGGTCTCCATGCCTGCACAGCAAGCCCTTCGGCCACTGAGGCATCTCCTTAGCAAACCCCCTCCCCGTGAGTCCTTGAAGGAATCATTACTGAGGTTTCTGACTGAGAAGAGGATGGTAAGACTCCACCCCACCCTCTTTCGAGGTAAAGTAGAGCAGTCGTGCTGTGCAGAGGAAGTGTACTTTGGAAACCATGACCTGACTGCAGATCCAGTGAGCTTTCAGAAGCAGAGAATGGGGACCTAGCAGGGAATGCTACCTCCACATGTCAGAGTCCATGCTGCTATGTGCCTCGGGCACAGAACAGGTCTCAGTAGATGTGGCAGGGACAGTCAGTTGCCACCCAGACCTACTCCTTCTTAGGACAGAACTCCACCTTTACTTAGGGCCACTGTGCACTCAGTTGTGATGAGGCTTTGGCCACAGGTGGGTAGTGAGGCTGTTGTGTAGAACTTCAGGGAAGGGTGCCCGAGAGAGACTGACTCTAAAGGGGATGTTTGTCCTGCAACCTGTTGTTCTAGACCACCTTAAATCTAGTGTGACTTTCAGGACAGGGGATATGCTGGGGTGGTACAGCATATAACCCATGATGAAGTGTGGGTCTTGACTTTTTTTATTTTTTAAATATTTTTGAGATAATTGTAGATTTACATAGAAGAAGAAATACAGATATGTGAGGTATCATTTAGAGGATTTCATCTCACAAAGTTATAGGATTTGCCATAGCTGGGATTTTCACATTGATACACTCAAGATCTCTTCTTATGTTGGGCTGAGAAGATGGCTCTGTGGTTAAGAGTACTGACTGTTCTTCCCAGAGAACCTGGGTTCAATTCCCAGCACCCACATGGTGTTTAACAACCATTTGTAACTCCAGTTCCAAGGGATCTAGCATCCTTTTCTGGCCTCCGAGGACACTGTTTGCAGGAGGTGCACCAACGCTGACCAGACCTGGACCACTTACCCATGGAGACACAAATGTCTATATGAATTAAATCATACCATTTAAAAAAAATGTCGTGCAGCCAAACCTCACCCTGCACTAAGACAGCAGCAGCAGCTCAGAAAAGAAGGCTAAAAGATCATTGCTACAGAAAAGAAGGGTAAAAGATCCTTAGAGCAAAGGAAAGGCCAGTGGAAGTGACTTCAAGGAGGCTGGATACCTCAGCTAAACCAAGAAGGATCAGGGTCTGTTGCTGCATAGATCCCTCAATTCCACTTGCTCCTGACAGTGACTGTGGCCTTCATGAGATGCTTCTGCTTTCTTTACCTTACCGAAGGATCATGTATAATTTATACTAAACTATTCTGTCTGCCACAGATGTTTACAGGCACTGGGTGCATCCCAACATCTGCACATGTGGTTCATGAAGATGGCAGCATTTCTCTGGGGGAACTTTTTTTTGCTTGGTATCTTGTTGGTTTTTAAAAATAGATATTTTTTTAATTAATTCTTTTAGGATTTCATATATGCATATAATATATTTTGATCGGATTCACCCTCATTCACCCCTCCAACTCCTCCCAAATCCATCCTACCATCCCACTCTCCCACTTCCTCCCATCTTTGTATCCTTATTTTCTTTCGTGTATATACCACATGGAGTCCACTTTATGCTGCCCCTACACTCATATGGATGAGGACATCCACTAGAGTGTGGCTAACCTACTAAAGGCTATATACCCTTAAAGAAAACTGGCCTTCCCTTCCCCAGAAGCCACCAAATGCTAATAACTCCTCAGTTAGGGGTGGGGGCTCACAACCCCACTCCCCACCCTGTGCTAAAAGGTTGACTGGCTCGATCTTGTGGAGGCAGCTGCAGTTGCTGGGAGTTTGTGAGTCAGTGACTCTATTGTGTCCAGAGACACTGTTTTGTCAGGTCCTCCTTGACTTCTGGCTCTTACTCTCTGTCCACCCCGTCTTCTTCAGTGGTCCCTGAGACTTGGAGGGAGGGGTGTCGTATAGATGTTCCGTTTGTGGCTGAGCACTCCATCAACACTTGTCTCTGCACTCCGACTAATTGTGAGTTTCCTTGTTAATTGCCGAGCACTGAACAAGGAATCCCCTCGGATGTGGTCTGAAAGCTGCACTGATCTATGCGTATAAAGATGTGAATTCAGAGGGAGTTTGATACTGGTCCATTTAACAGTATAATAGTGGTAGGTTCACCCCTGGGCCTGTAAGCTCCTCAGCCATGAATTCTTGGCCAGATTTACAGTACCAAACATGTGTTTCCTTCTGTAGAATGGACCTTAAATCCAAAGAGAAAGAGATTAGCTACTTCTATGACATGTGTGCCTCTATCGCCCCATGGGCATATCTTGCCGTGCTGGTTTTTATTGTAGCTTACAGGATTCACAGTTGGGTAAGAATATTGAGGACCTGTAGCCTAAGCTGCCTTTGAACTTGGGCTGTTCTCCCACCTTGGCTTCCTGAGCACTGGGATTACAAGTGTATGCCACCATGCCTAGGTTTCCATGGGGGCTTCCAGTTCTGACTTTCATCAAGAGATTATTTGGGGGAAATATAACTGGATGTTCAGAGATGTCCTCAGTGAGTTGATGTGCCATGCCTGCTAGGACCCTGCAGAGTTTGGGGGGGGGGGCACCTATCTCAGCTGCTCACTTATGTTATGCTTCCCTTTCCAAGGAGCTGGTGTCAGAGAGGATGTGTTTCTCATCTGGAGAGAAATGGAAGAAGCCTGCAGCACACTGACTCAGGTCCGGAAACTGGTGGACAAGTCTCCTCAGTCGGATGTGTCCCCAGCATACTACAGTAGGTGCTGTTTATATATAAGCTTGTAGTGCAAAGGAGTCAGTGATATTGGTGGCTGGGGATGCAGGTGGGAGGGTTGGAGTCCCATGCTTCTAAACAGGAGAACTCCTTAGCTCAGCTCAGAGGTGTTTCTAGGGAGAGTCTCTCGAGCTGTAGGATGTACATACATGTGTACATGCATGTGTATGTGTGCAGATATGTCGACACACATGCTTGTGCTCATTCCTGAAGTAGTTAAAGCTCTAAAGGCAGGAACTGCCTATAGTAAGAGGAGGAAGCAAGGCTTGGCATAGAGCTAGGCTTAGTTCTGAACACAGTACAGACATCCACAGTGTGGGGTAGAGGGGCAGCTGTAAATGGAAAATTACTAAGATGAGATATGACGAATAGGAGGCTTCTGTGTGGACTGACACAGCAGGGTTCTTGCTGAAGGCCGGATCAGATATGGTGGGCATGAGAAATTCCATTGAAATATTGAATCTGATCATTTACCAGTTTGGGGGTGGGGATTCTGGTTGTAGCCTTTTCTTAAGAGTTGTGCTAGCTATGCAGAACTGAACACAGAAGTCTAAAGATTGAGGACATTTGAAAGAAGATGCAGAGAGGCTCAACTCAAGCTCAGTCAGGGGGTAATCTTCCAAGAGGCATGTGGGGCTTTGTTTGTTTGTTTTCTAGACAGGTCGCTTCATGTATCCCTGGCTGTCCTGGAACTCACTCTGTAGACCAGTGTAGCTGAAGTTTTCCTGGTTCTGCCTGGCTCCCATGGTCTTGCCCAGGTCCTGCAATCCCTCAGTCCTGCAGCTGCTCAGACCCAAATAAACACACAGAGGCTCATATTAATTATGAACTGTATGGCCTGATAGCACAGGCTTCTTGTTAGCTAGATCTTACATCTTAAATTAACCCATTTCTATAAATCTATACTTTGCCATGTATCTCATGGCTTACTGGTGTCTTTACATCTTGCTTCATATAGCGGCAGGTGGCAATGTCTCCTCTGTTTTCCTTTCTCCTTCCCCCTCTCTAGTTAAATGTCCCGCCTAACCCTATTCTGCCTCACCATTGGCCAAACAGCTTTATTTATCAACCAATCAGAGCAATATATTTTCACAGCATACAGAAAGACATTCCCCCATCAGACCAGGCTGGCCTAAACTCACAGAGATCCGCCTGCCTCTGCCCCTTAAGTGCTAGGATGAAAGGCATGTACCACTTCACCAGGCGGGGTATCTGGCATGTGAGGACTCAGGGATAGGTCAGCTAGACTTGGCCTTGCCTGCAGACTGAATCCCATCCACACTGACTATGGCAGGCCGCCATCCACTCACCCTCACACAACCACAAAGGAATCTGCATTTATTGCATTCTAATTTAAGGCCACTGCTCTTCTTTGGGCAGCAGAACTTCTCTTGTTGAATGCAGACACAGGCCAGGCAAGAAACTCGTAAGATTTGTCTGGAAGGGATAGGGTCTGTGAGGGTTTGTACTGCCAGTATTAAAAAGAAGTTACTGAAATGTACTTGCATTTCTCAGTCTTCAGAGACCTTTCATGTTCTAAGTAGCAAGGACAGCTGTTGTGCGACACTATTCCTGGGGCAACATGAGCAAATGTCTATTTGCCCAAGATAGGGCGCCCATGACAGACCAAAGTAACAGTACCACCAAAACCCAACTTGGTAAATCCATAAGTTTATTAGAATTACTTACAGGAATAGGGATAACTCAAAGGTAGTGCCTTGCTGATGGTCTATACTGACTATGGGTGATAGCTCACAAAAGCTGCAACAAGCCTCAACTTGTGGGTACTCTACAGATCTGAGAGCCTCCTCTAGACCCCTTGGCTGGTCTGAGGCTCTCCTCAGCAGGCCTCACTGCTTATGTGCTTTTATAACCTTGGGGAGGGAGAGGTTTTGTGTTTTTGGTAAGTTTTAGGGCCTTCCTGAGACTTATGAATTGTTTATTTTCCAGTCTTAAAGGACCCCCTTTTAGAACTCCCACACACACACAGGATTTTTCAATCTAGAGGAAACTGCTACACATCACCAAGAGTGACAAAAAACATCTAGTGAGCACCAACTGTGTGTCAGGTGCTGCCCCAAGGGACTAAGCGTGTGTTTAGCTTATTTCATCCAAAAACAAAACACAACTGCCATGTATCAGGCACTATGGGGGTCCAGCCCCTCGATAGTCCCCTCCCAGGGTACCAGAAAAATCTACAACCAGCTGATAATTAATCTTTGATGAAAAGAAATGAATCTATGTACACGAAACTCCTTAGTTCACACACTTTATTATTCTGTGTGAGTTCTCTCTCTACAAGCTTCTAGTCTGCTCTCATGCCGCGCTCCTTTCTTGCCTGATTTCTCTCTATGTTTATCTACTGCTCCCTCTAAGTTCTATCTTAATTCTCTCATCTTAATTCTGCCTCATCTAGGTCCTTTTCATATCATTCTTACCCAACTGGTACTTCCCCATCTAACTCTTCCTCATCTTCCATCTCATCCACATACTCTCTGGTCAAAATCCTCCTTATCCCTCTCCGTTCTCTGTCTCTAAGTTCTCCATGTTCCTCCTAAGTCTCCCAGGAATCCAGTTATAAACCCAAGTAATAGCAATCCCTTGGTTGAGCAAGGTCACCAGGCTTGAATTCTTGTGTGGTCATAAAGGCAGGTAAGAGTTTCCTCAGGCAGTGGTTGTCAGGCTTCCAGGGTCAAGCAGAGGAGTGATAAGAATCACATAGAGGGGCAGTAATTGTTAATTATCATTTGCAACACAAAAGGGAAGTGACTAACGAATTAACTAAAGGCTAAATTTGGGTAATATCTAAGAAGAGGGATCTTATGTGCTCAACTACAATCTTAAACATGATTGGTAGAAAATGTTAGAAATCTATAAGTTGCTAGGTCAATGGGAGAAAATAAAACTTTCTTCTTTTTTCCTGTGGCTCCTATCTGTTCAAGCTATCTGCCGTTTTTCTGCAGGGTGGGGGAAAGTGTGCTCGGTCGCTAGGCAGTCTGTGTACAGCTAGATTCCTCTGGTGATAGTTGAAGGGAGATCTGGAACTAGAGGTAAGATTTGGGGAAGGAGGAAGTTAAGCTTAATTGGCACATCTGCCAGGCCTTCTCAAACAGGTAGTCTGGATGCTAAGGTCTGTTCTTAGAAAGTACAGAGGTATCTCTGATAAGGTACTTTCCTCCATCTGGGGATGGACCTGGCCGGATGCTGCCAATGATGGTAATTACAGGGAGGCTTGAACTGGGGTTCTGGCTGTGCATAGCTGTCAGCACAGGTTATCTAAATACTCCTTTAGTAGAGGGGAAATGGTGCCCAATAAATGATGGAAAAGCTACAGTAACACACAAGAAACTCAGCAGAAAATGGCTGATAATCAAAAGCCAAAAATCACCAAGGCTCCTTGAGCCTCAGCTTGACCTCTGGAAGGCCCTTGGCTTCTTCCAGGTATTGGCTTTGTCATAATCAGTGGAAATCCTTCTTTGTATATTTTTACGGCTTGCAGCACATCCCTGTTGTCTTCATTTGGAGGTAATGAAACGAAGGCAAGAAGGATTCTGTAAACGGCCAGCAGAGGAGATTCTTCCCAGCTGTCACCCCCTTTTAAGTTAGCAGTGATGCCGTGTCCATCTGAGCAGCCCTGTCCCGGTTACTGCTGCACCTGTACCACTCTGAATTGATGAGCTCCTGCCTTGGTGTCTAAAAGCTCTTCCCCACTACAGAGAAGCAAGCTCAGGGTATCTTTGCCGGTGAAGAACAAGGAGATGACGAGAAATATTTTTTTTTCTCTGTCTTCTATTACCCAAGTATTGTTCGTAAAAATAAAGGGCTGGAATTTTGTAGCAAGAATTTTGTAGCGAGGTTGGCCCGAGTCATTGCCCCTCCGTCTCAGTTTGTAAAATGAATAGCACATCAGTCCGGGAGGTGACTGTGGACATTAAGTAAAAGAATGCAGGGTCAGCACCAAGCAGGTCCTCACTTTCTCCTTTCAACTTAAGGGAATTGGTGCCCGGATCCTCTGTGAGTTCTTTTTTTTTTTTTTTTTTTTCGAGACAGGGTTTCTCTGTGTAGCTTTGCGCCTTTCCTGGGACTCACTTGGTAGTCCAGGCTGGCCTCGAACTCACAGAGATCCGCCTGGCTCTGCCTCCCGAGTGCTGGGATTAAAGGCGTGTGCCACCACCGCCCGGCGAGTTCTTAGGTTAGCGGAGGATCTGGTTTCTTCTAGGATGAAGTGATAACAATAGCTAACGTTACCTGACCGTCACTGTTCTGGGCTCTTCACAGGAAGCTCCTTCTCCAGCTGCCCCCCCAGTCTTCTGAAAAGTTCTGCAATTCTGCTTGGGTTAAGTGGGTAACTTGCCCAAAGTGATGTTACTAGGGTGTGGCAAACCCTTGATCAGAAAGCTATTCCGTCTTGAAACTACTCATGTCTGCCTCCTCCTCCTGCCATTCTCGTTTGGTCCTCCTGTGATGGTACTTGGATTTTTTTTTTTTTTTTGAGAGTGTTCCAGCTGAGAACCTCCTAAGGAGCAGGTTTTGAAATCCCTGAAAGCTACAGTGTCTCTCTGTACTGCTCATGTCACAGAGGCGTCATGAACGGATACAAAAATATATGGCACACATACATACACACTCCCCCCCCCCCCCCCCCCCCGCCAAGTACCACAAAATTAAAACGGAAACAAAATGGATGAGCTGTGAGTCTGAAATTCTATAATGATCTCTAATACCCTTCATTTTAACCTAACACATACATATCCCCCAAAGAAAATAACTCCAAGCAGCCATTTAAAAAATACGCAGGATGTGCTGTACCATTTATACTCTAAAGGGGGAAGTTTGATCGAAGCCATTCCTCCATTGGGTAGTCATCCAAGCTTTTGTCTGAATTTCACCCCCGCATCTTCATGGAGAATGTCTGACTACCCCTTTCCTAAGCCCTGAAAGCCCATGGCCAGTGTGGCAAAGACCCTTTGTCTGCTTTGTGG